AAGGGATCGGGAATTGGAGGAGAACGGATTAACGTCGAGTAACGCCGTGGAGAATTCGCGATACGAAAGTCGCGGATAAAGTTCTCCAGCCACTCGAGGGGATAACTGGCGACGTTCGGAAGCGCCTAAAGTGTCGCTGCTAAGAGAAAACGGAACGGATTATGCACGCCGAGATTCAATATTTGCCGCATCAGCCGCGAGCGCGTCTCCTCGTGTAATCACGGCCTAATCAAGAGCGACGAAATTCGATTATATACTCACCGAGTTCCTGGCAATAGAGCGTAACTAGCGTATGATAGCGAGGCCCAGCGCCGCCAGAAACGAGCCGGGCCGGTCGACGCGACTGCAGCAGTTGGCCTTTCGGGATCGTAACAGCGACAGCCAATTTATATCCGTGCCCTCGATAACCTCAGTTGAGATGAATAAACTGCGCCCCTACAAAAGCGTGATAATTCGTAGCGCTAGTTACTTTTCGAACGCCTCGGTTCGTTTAAAGCCCGTTTGAACGAGTTTGACAAATTTGGGACGGTGGCGCGGCGATGGGAAACGACCAAGTTCATCCTTGCGCACGCATGGGTGAGCAAGGTAATTGCAAATTACGTTTTTAATTCCGACAAATTCTACCTCGTCTATCTCGTGCATAGGATGTATTCACGTTGCGCAAATCATCGTGATTAATTTGTTTCTACGTGGGCACTCGTGAACGTGATGTGGTTGAAACAAGCAAGTTCTTAAACTTGCGAAAATTAGATGATATCGTCTTGAGAAAATTATTTCCTTGTCGTCGATTCAACGCGAAAGTTGCTGAACCATTCTCGTAACTCTCCGGGGTGTCCGCGACGATGATACTTTGCTTCGAGAAGTTTATTGCCAGCTTACTCACAGTTCAAAACACTTAACTCGGTTTATCCGAGATAAGTATAAATATTTGCGCCATTAATCGATCGATTCTCTCTCTCTCTCTCTCTCTCTCTCTCTCTCTCTCTCTCTCTCTCTCTCTCTCTGCACTCTCTTTATCTTTAATTTTTTTTCGAATTAATACAGTTGATAGCACTCGGTTAATGAGTAATGTAATAGCATAGCAAAAATAAAAGCTTAATATAAACTTCCTAGCTGTTGAATTATTTCACATACAGCGTAAAATTTTACATATTTTTTTATTAGTTAAACTGTAATAAAATATTCGTATTTTTCCTAAGCTTTACTAATATTTTCCGAAATGGAAAAAATTATTTGCATTGCTGTTCTACTCAACAACTCATTTATTGTCTCAGTATTGCGATGCATTCAGCGAAGTTTAATCGAATAAAACGAACCAGCTTCTGACAGAAGAAATGCATTACGCGATGCACGTGCCATTTTCCTTTGTTCATTGCGTGCTATTATCGCAACGTTACATTGAAAATATCTTTGCGGTACAAATGATAACGAAGAGATTTTCTTATTTTCTGTTTCTAAGAGAGAAGGAGAGAGAGGAGCGCAAAGAAAAACAGAAATCATTGATGTGAGAGTTATTTCTGATAATAAATGTCAAGCAGTAAGGAGCACTATTTATAACAAATGAGCGCACTCGTTACACTTCTAAGTATGACTATAACTTTCTTTCCGCAATTTGTTATGTAATTTGCACGTTTGAGACCATAAATAGATTTTTTCTTTTTACATCAGTCAAATTTTATTTATCAACAGCTGTGCGCATTTAATTAAAATCTCGCACTTCCCAATCTTTGGACCTTACAACCTATTAACTTGCGTATTTGTGCATTCCCGCACTCTTGCTCTTTAATGAGAAACCATTACGCATTGCAAGTCGTTTTCTAACGAGCATAATTAATAGTTTAGTATAATATGGTAACTACTCATGCAAGCAATGATAATATTGCTATTATTATTATTATTATTAATATCATAATTACATTCTATGATGTATACAAAGTATTTTTTACATACAAACGAATAAACATTATACATATCCATTTTCATTGTAGCGTTCGCTATTTTTTATTTTATTTTATTTTAATATTTTCCCCTCTAATTATAACTTTTTCGCAAAGAATTCGCTTTAAATTCGCTAAGAAAAATTACATTTCACTTCATACAATAAAATACATAATATGCTGTAACAAAAAATCGACTGTGCATACCGATTTTCGTTCATCACGAAGGTAATTTTTTTTTATTTTCAACTTTCTCTTCGCTTGTCGCAGAACATGGTAACGTTGTTTCTTGCATGGTAATGCAGTCGGTCTTGTACAAGGAGATTCGTTTTTTACGTTCTCTTCTCGATTTCCAGCGTGCAAGAACAATCGTAGAAACAAAGAATACGTATAGTGCTTTAAGATACGTCGCCGCGAACGAATGTCTTCTCTCGTTCAGCATTGAAATTGTCACATTTACACAGTTTCTTTCTGTTTCTCGTGTTTCAGAAGTACACTGCCACAACATGCCATACGGCGGCAGCGGCAAGAACAGCGACACATACAACCAGAACGCTCTGGAGGAGGCCACACGATCGGGGCCGTATTTCGACAAATCGGCCTCGAAGAACGTGACCGCCTTGCTGGGAAAGACCACGTACCTCAACTGCCGTGTCAAAAATTTGGGGAACAAAACGGTGAGTGAGATAAATACATATTCCCAAAAAAGAGAATCCGTATTATTCGCTGAAATCTCTTCTACTTATTTATATCCAAAAAGAATTACGATATGATTTCATCAGATTATTTATAAATTAATGCGATAATAATGTCATATTATAATAACACGATATTATATTCATAAAATGTTAATTCGTTGAGAAAGAGGTGTTGGAGAACATGATAAAATAGGATCAAAAAAGCAATCTTATTATGTAAAATTTTTTAATATTTTATAATTTTAAAATCGCAACGCCATTGCGCTCAAACTATCTTCTTTTCCAAGAAAAAAGAAAAGTTGAAATTTTTTTACTGGAAAAAAAAACATTGGGAAATCTGAAAGGATAACAAAAATACTAATATTAAATATATATAGTTATATATAGTTACGGAGACGAATTCAGCTCGTTTATGTCGCCTAAGTCAAAAGTACCTAACGAACCCAGTCAATTCGAACATTACGAATAAAAAAATTAAATCTGGGGCAAATTACGGACGTATAGTTAAATCCAGCGATGCAAGATGTCTTCTCTCTTTTTCCTTCGCGATAAAGTCTCACTAATGACAAGATACTAAAAGTAGCACGTGAGAGTAAATTAAAGACGACGAAAAAAAGGTAGACGACACCTATGTAAACATAGATTCTAACGTTTTCTCTAGTCTAGTCTGAGTGAATAAGGCAAAATATCGAGTGTCAATATTTTATCGACACAATGGAGCGTCACCTGTCCCGGGCAAACTGCGGGGGTTACCGCCGAAAGTGCACTTGTGCACCAGCGCGACACCATGGTCTCTCGATAATACCATTGAACGAAGTATGCAGGTGCCTTTGGTATATACATATATACGTACAATACACACACATATATATATATATATATAATGTTTAGCCATTGTGGCAGCTGTGCAATTAGGGCAGCTAACGGAGCTTTGCACAAGGCAAATAAAATTATAGAACGTGGCATTATAAGTGGCGTCGATAAAATTTGGATTGATCTCGCGTCTCAGCCAGCTTTTTCCATGAGCGAGCAGAAACTCGTAAAAGCAAAATCACGTAATACTCGTGTACTCAAAAACTAATGGAGTGAATCTTGTTTATTTTATTATGTTATTGCGTTTCAATCACGTTGTCGTATTGTAGAACTTACCCTTTAAACACATTCGTCATGAGATATAGTCTCGTTAAGCACTAATGGGAGGTATTTTGTGCCATTCGGTATATGCATTAAGCGGACGTCACATATACGTGTTGGGGACGGTATGATGGCAGATGAATTCATCGCTAAGGATTAGATATAACTCAGGGATAAGCGAGGGAAAGATTGGTCTGGCCATAACTCACGTAGTCGTCTCTTTTTGCTCGTGCCTCATGGGAGAGATTAGATCGCTGGGATTATATATATATATATATATTCATGGTTTCCTACTGATTCATAGTTACCGAGACATATCAAAGTGTTAACGTTGTTGACTCGTATAATTTACTCGCATGAACATATGTCAATTCGTTATTTTATCGTCCAAATATTAAAGATTAATAATCCGTACTTCTCTAAATTCTTTGGAGTGGAATCTGATTCTAAAGAGAAAATTCTGAAAATTGAACTAGTCTTGAAAAAGAATAACTCAATTTTCAATCTTTAAGAGTGAAACTTTACTCTTCAGAGATTCACTCTAAAAGTTTTATAGATTAATGTATTACATCACTTTTTATAATCTGTCTAAGTAAGATTTAAAAAAGTTACATTATTTAATTTCTACAAACGTATTAGAATGTATTAATAAGTTAGAAACAAGATCTACTCTTCTTCTAATAAAGATTGAAAGTACATCAATAGAAATTACTTAATTTACTTTTGATTTAAGTTTAAAGATAATTAATCTTTAAGATCCATTAACTAATTTGTGGGATATTGTAAACGTTTAATCGCATTTTCTGTATTTTATAAAACGTGAAAGACGCTTAAGAAACGTTGGGACATAATACTTTGTAACAATTGAATTGGTAATGCACGTCAGTTTATACAGCGATGCAGCTGCTTAGTCAGCAGCAAGAAAGGGAGGGAATGTACTCGGTATCGGAATCGACCGACTTTCGAATGCGAGACGTCCGGATTTATCGTTCTTGTGTGAAACCGAAGATCATACAGCGCCTGAGCTAGATTTATTGGATGAAGTGTACGTCCGTCTCTCAACGAAGGAGAGGAATGCGCCGAGATGCGGGGTCCTGATACGGACGTGTTCCACGGCCCGTGCTTTACTTAATCTATGAATTGCCAAGTACCGCAGAGTTCGACGTTCAAAAAGAGGCGCCGATTCATTCATATGTATGCCGCGTAACCCAGTTCGAAATCAATTCTGCTCGAGAGGTGTGCGGCGTTTGCATCGAAACTTGAACGCGGCGTTTCTAGACATTGGCTGGCTCTCGCGAGTGCGTTAACTATTTCTCATGAACACGTTATCTCGCGAATGCTCTCCAAAAATTTCACCATCTAGAATTGACGTTATTAATCTGAAAATGTACAAACAGCAACATTCATTTTCTTCTCACGATGTATATACTTTGGACTAAATTTTTTCCTCCCTTTCAGTTAAATTTTAGATTAACTTTTAAGGTTTTTTAGGTTTAATTTTAGTTTATTTAATTTGAGTTTTCAACGATATCTAAGTGAATCGTTTTTCTTTCATTTCTATTTCACATTCGTTTATTGCGAAATCACATGTGTGCCGTGTATTTGTCCTCGAGAAATCTCATTTCTATACCAAGCTTATTTCGGCATCGGCAATATCGATATTATTCATGTTTATTTTACCGATTAACTTAACCTGTTATTAGAATCGCGGATGGATATTTGATTTCTAAATCGTGTTTACTATCAGCGTTCATTGAAGCTATCATCGATTTTACCTGATGGTGTATTGGAAATCTGGAGTCAAATCAAAACCACATAGGAAGCTATACTTGGCTAGAGCTTAATTAAATTCAATACTTAAATGTTTATTGGAGGAAATATAGTACAATCACACTCGCAAGTAGATAAACGAGAAACTCTTCTTATTCGTTCGACTTTAGAATTAAATTAAAATAAATAACTCGTTCTATTATCGACAAGAACATACTTTGGGGAAGCTTAATATGATTCGTGCATAAAAATGGAAAAGAGATAAAGGGAGAAGATGGATTTTCCGTGATGGGTTCTTACGGCACTCCTCGGAAGCGGGAAGAATAAATGCCTGAAGAGAATTTCTTTTCGTCATTGCAATGAACATCGATTGGGGCGATGGAATTGATTCGATATAGATGGGATAATTATCGTTGTGTTCACCGATTGACTTACATTAATTCAAGATCAAAGCCTTCAACGAGCTGAAGCAAAGTGCTCTCGGTCGGAGACCTTTTTAAAATCTAAGAAACCATTGCAGGACATCGTTACGTAAGAAGACGAAATCCTTTGTAAACGAAAGCTCATAATGAGCGAATAAAAGCCGAGGCCGCCTATCGAGATTTCATCGATTACGATACGCCACGTGATCATGAGACAAGGATTCTTGTTTGATAACCGTTATCGTCCTGGAAATGCAACTTGACTCTTCGCGCTCCAATTACTGTCGAGAGCCAGGCTTGCCAGCTGACCCCTTTCGCTTATCGTGCATATTGATGAGAACACGGATATCTCTTTTTAATTGCTGATGTAATAACATTCAATGAATCGTATCGAATGCTCTTAAGGAAATGACTCCGTCATTAATATAATAAAGGCATTCATCAATCGTTTCATCACATTACACGATTTTATACTCTTTGTCCTTCCATTTTTTTTTCTTCAAAAATTATTTTTTCAAAATATACATCTTAAATGTGTCTTACAGTATTTTTTTTATATTTTAAATCAAATTATAATTTAATAATTTGCATTAAATTTATTACAGTTTTTTTAAGATTAGATTTGGGGGAAATTATTAATGTTTCAGATGGATTGCATTGAAAGTCCGACAGTAATGGCGCGCAATCATATTTCTGAAATAAATTCATTTAAATAAGAATACATATACGTATTAGTTCAACATCTAACTTTGACCGTCAAATGGTGCTTCTTTTATTTAGGTGATGTACTCATATAAAACGTTTTTAATTCTAATCTTATTATCGTTTAATAATTTGTGTCAATTAATTGTCAGATTTTTCATTCAACTATTCGCTATCCTCTTCACCAGATATATATTCTCTATTGTGGTCAATTTTTGATGCACCACACCGATCGTCACTGTCTGTGTGTGTACACGATCAATCCACCAATTTCGTCAACTTGCCCAACTCGCAATAGCTTCGGCATTCTCAGGCAGCGCACGCAAGCTCGCTATCAACGTGATACGAAAGACGAATACGCGTGCGAACGCTCGAATGAAACGATAACGAAAAAGAGAGCTCCGATTCTATTGCGTTTTTAACATCTTTGTTGCGGAGGTCGACGCCGGTCATCCGCAACGAACAATCGGCCTCGTTCCTTTTCCGTGAACGTACATCGATTGCAAGGAGTGCCCTCAAGCTGAAAAGACGCGTCCCTCGACAATAGTTTTCTATCGACCTTTTATAATCTTTGCGATCGCAAAGAGTCACCGTATCATATCGATTTCGAGCTTATCAATTGATGATCTCATCAACCGAGCATTCTACCACGTTATTGGTTTATTATTTCCAAATATATAACATTATGTAATAATTATATAATATAATTGTTTAAATGTATATTAATATAGTTTTAAAAAAGCCGCTTTTTTCAAATTTCTGTTAACTTATCTCGCTGTGTACCCTATACGCAATTATTTTCTTTACGGAAAGAACCGAGAAGCAAATATGGTAGGTTTTACGAGCACGCGTGAATTTTTCCAAAATGAATTTTTCTATCGTTAGGAAAAAAAACTGAAAAAATCCACGGAAAAATTGAAAAAATTGAATTTTTTTCCGATCCGTTAAAAA